ACACCCCTACACCCTCCCCAAACACCTTACCTTTTCTCTGGTAAAGACGCTGTAGTCAACCAGGCCCATCAATCGATGACAGAGTGAAGTTCATCTATTGATGTCTGCACGGAGAACAGCCTGTTGATGTAGCCCAGCAATTAGACAGAGGAATAATGGGCTCCATGACCTGGGAGTCAAGAAGGAGACAAAGAAAAGCATGAGCTCTTTATGACTCCCTTTGCTGTAATATGTTTATATATATATATGTAAATCTATCTATACATATTCATACACATATATACGGACATTGTATATGTGTTAGCTCAAAATCCACATATTTAAAATAATTTAATCTATCACAAATTATAATATTTTATTTTTTTAGAACATTAAGACAAAACCTTTGCTGAAATATAGGCACAAAGAAGATAAAAATTAAAAAAAGGTGATAGCTAAAACGTTAACTTGGAGGAGAAAATCGTAACGACATAATTTGTGGGCCACATAAAGTCTGTGCACGTGTCACAGTGTGGCCCCCGAGCCAGATTTTGAGCGTTGCCGTTTTGCAGTAAGAGAAAGTGAAAGGGTTTAATTCCTGTGTTGATCTGTGATCCCTGTGTGATAACATTACAGCAGCTTAACGACCACATTAATTAGAGTATTGATGGAGTAATTATGATCATGCCCAGATTGGGCTAATCCTCAGTGTACGTGTTTGTGTGTGAGTGTGTGTGTGTGTGTGCAGATGGATTAAAAGAGAGGAAATGTAATGAATCTGGTCATTTAGAAGTCAAGAGAGAAACAGTTTGGAGCGGCTGACCCAGCTCTGATGTGGACTCTCCATTTCCCCCCCTTCAGAATAATAGCAGCGTGTAGTTTTATTCTTTTCCCTCCTCCATTAAAGGTGGAAATGAGAATAATCCACCGCCGTGAGTGTTTTAGTTAAAACAGCTGCCGTTCTCTCTGGGAAATAAAGAGCCTGTTGTTTTAAAGGATCCTTTCAGGTGAAAAAGCTGCCGCCACGTGATTTTAAATGAGCCTCATAGTTCCTGACATGACTCATTAGCATAGCTAATGGCAGCCATTTACTAGAAATTTCCTTTATGGCACACTGTTAAATATTTCCCCGGTGGCTGTGAAGAGGAAAAGTAAAGAATTTGTGAGAGCAGTGAGAGGAGAATTTACACCGAGCAGTGGAGAAGGAGTGGAAACTCTCTCAACAGCCACGCCTTTAATGTGACGGAGGCTGGAGGAATAACTCTAATAATAATTTGAATAGTTAATCATTAATGTTATAAAAAAAAATAATAATTTGAATACTTAATCATTAATGTTATAAAAAAAACTTTGAAAACCCATTACAGGACTACATCTCATATTTAAGTAGCCTGGATTAGCCCACATGTAGTTTGAAATGTGCTTTAACAAAGTGACAAGAAACTAAAAGTTAGCCTGAAGTTATTCACTAAATTTAAAGTTGAAATTGTGTAAACTTTTGAAGTGCCATCAACTCATCTATGCAGCTTCTGGTTTTTTAATATTTAAATAAGACGAAGATACAGACCCAGACAGTCATCCTTAACAACATAATCAACCGAAGGCTAAACATAAGGGTTGCGGACCAAGAGCGTCTTCGTTCAGATGCCGATGAACAATCCTAACTCAACCTTCCAACCAGTTCTTAAATTTTTTTAAAATATAAAATTAATATATGTACATGCCTAAAACTTTTTGCACAGAGCTGTATATTATTTATTTATTTATTTTATGGTCTGTATTGTCATTGTACCACGCAGAGATTGTCCTGTACGACCTGACAGGACCTAAAACACCTGAGTAGACACAGTTAGAGGAAGTAAAATTACATTGAATTCACTTCCAGAATGTGATGATTTCTATTAGCGACCCATCCTTTTAGAACCTCTCCTCCAAATCGATTCAGTCGTGAGTCAGAGTTTTATTTTTGATTGATTTTTTTTCCCTCCTTTTCAAGAAAAAACATCTTAAGTCAAATGGATGTGAGGGTTAGAAAACTGACAAAGACTTGAATCAGGAAAAACAGCTGGGTCCACTTCTAATGTTAGTGCATCGGTGCTCTTATGTAACTGTCTCTGCGTATGTGTGTGTGTGTGTGTGTGTGGTCACAGAATATGCAGCTGCACCAGCTGATGGTGCATTTACTGCCCTCACAGTTCTGCAGAACTTCACGTCATCATTGCTCAGCACATTCAGGTTTTTGTCTTGAATTTATTTAGACTTTTTAATGGACTAAACCGAGGACAGGTCCAGACCAAGTCCAGACTCTGAATAAATTAAGATTAGAATCCTAGAGAAATGGCTCCTTTTCGGGGGTATTCTTGCTAACATTTAGCTATCTCTTGGCTAACTAAGGCTTGTATTGTTTCTCTAAAATTATGACCTTCTTTGTCTTATTTTCTAATCCAGTCCAGGCAACACAAAAACAACCACAGATATTTTAAATTTTCTATTAAATTTTAGTGATTTCTTGGTTACATTTAAGAATTTCTTTTCAACCTTACTTTTACATTTCAGTACAATTCAAACTGTCCAGAATCCTCTTCTTCTGCTCTTTTCTAGTGTCTGTTCATGTGCTGCTCTGCTTTGATCTGAGTCAAAAACCACAGTTTGTCCTCATCCTCTCATCAAACCTGTTCACGTCGGTGCAGAGTTGAAAGCCTTCTCCATGGCAACTCACCTTTATTTTTGGATGTTAAGTGCAGCGTTTTGTTCCAAAGATCACTGTTGACATCAGGCCATAATGGACAAATTTGTAATTCATAATCATGCGCTCGTAAAACAGCGGTGAGTCAGAAGGGTGACAACGAATTTTTAATTTATTAGGAAACGGAGATAAAGTAGTTCCGACTCCACTTTTAGCTCATACTTTATCTCTGCGTACCAGTGTTCTTTAATACCGTGGATAATTCCACGTACATGATCACAGTCTCAGCGCCGCAGCTCCTTTTAACCCCCCGCCATTAAGGTCAAGTGGTTCCCATTAAAAGCAATTGTTTCTAACACTAAATCCAGGATAAAACCAGATTATCGTAGCATGATGTGCAAACTGAGGCCCCGCGATCACAGAGTAAAACCCTCAGAGCTAAATCCTCCGGTCATGAAGATGGAAGAGAAAAAAAATGTGATGATTGATCAGTGTACGTAAGCCGATCAATGTTCTGTTGTTTGTACAAGACGTGGCTGCTCTTCCACTGACACCAGGGTTTAAATATGACAGGGACTGAACCAAGACATTGACTTTTTATTTCAACTAAGTAAAAAAATAGCTATAATTAGCAAAAAGATTATTACAATTTTGGCTTAGTAAAGGTTAAAAGTCAGTCCAGAAAAAAAAATATTTGTACCTTGAATATATTTACTATAAATAAAATATTGAGCAGTAAATATAGCAAAATAACAATGACTGCATACAGATGAATATTAATTGATTAAAGGAAAGACACATTGATGATTTCTTTAGTTATTACAAAAAAACAAAATCAAAAATAAATTCCAACCAATCATTTTTTTCCTCTGTCTCCTGTTTCCCTCAGGGCCTCCGTCACCGCCCAGAGATCTGGTCTACACCCTGAAGCAGTCCGCTCTCATCCTGGAGTGGACGGCACCATCAGACACGGGCGGCAGGCTGGATCTGACCTACAGTGTGGGTTGCCAGCGGTGTCTGTTGAGGGAGTGCGAGCCGTGCGGTGCCAGCGTTGGCTTCGTGCCCCAGCAGGTGGGCCTGACGGAGAGGACGGTGACGGTGGTCAATCTTCTTCCAAACACCAACTACACCTTCACCGTGGAAGCCCTCAACGGGGTGTCGGAGCTGCTGCCCAACAAGAGGTTCTTCACCCAGGTCAACGTGTCCTCCAGCCTCCCTGGTGAGTCTCAGTGTTTTCATTGTCCATCGTCGGTTTATCACTCAGTGATTGTTGTTGCACAAGTAAACTGATATGTTAGCAAAATGCTAAACGTTAGCCTGAAGGAAAATTTTATTGATTGAATCATATCCAACAGTGACACCAAAGAAACCAAAAAGGTTCACAAATTACTATTAAAAACAAAATGATTTAGCTTAATCGTTACTAAAAGTTAGCCCTGGAATAGCCAAAGGTGACCACAAAATATAACCAAAAGACGTGAGCTGCTGTACGTGGGACAAAGGTGTGGAAAAAAGTGTTTTGAAAGAGTGAGAATAATGGTTTGTTGTTATTAGTACACTGCAGTCCAAGTTTTTCTAGGACCGTGAAGGCATCATTGTTTTACCTTTGTTTACTTTCTTCCATCTGGAGTCGAAGAAACTCTTTAAAATGATGAGGTTGGTTTTATATTGGTTTAGTTCTTATTCACGGTGTTTCACTGGCGTAAACTCTTTTTTTTTTTCTACTTCTCCCAAATAAAACTTGTCTGGAGCTCCGATAAAAGATTTTTTCTGCAGAGTTCATAAGCATCACACTAACCAGCCGCTGCCTCGGTGTACTGACACCACGGGTGATGTTACCTTGACGATGCCGCTGCAGCTCAGTCACCTCCAGCTGCCCAACAGGGATTTAACTCAGCCCCGGGGTGAGGAACAAAATATCTGGGAAAAGGACAAACCTGTGGTTATTACATTTCTGCCTCCACAGTTCACGCAGCCTCTCCCTTCCTCCTCACCCCGGCTGCCTGTCATGTCAGCAGTTGCCCGAGCGTTGATTTGTGGTTATTATGGGGTATTAGAGTGCGACTTCCTCCTTCTAACCATGTCATCCGAACGGATTGGACTGAGAGAGGTGAGAGGAAGAGTGTGTTTGCAGGGCCTTCAGAAGGCTCTCTGTGTCAGGGAGGATTTACGGTGACATGTGGTGTGTCAGGTGTTAGCTGCTCTGCTCAGGAAAATGGTTAAAAAATGTTTTTAAAACCTCGTAGTATTTGAAACGTGCCTGTGAATGAGTTCCTCTGAAGCGTGTCTGCTTTGGTTAAAATGGCCTGTGGTTTCACACACATGATCAGCAGAGCATGGAGGAAATCAGCAGCTCACTGACCTGAACTTCACGTGAACCAGATTGGCCTGGTGCACTGCTCCGCCTGGTTAACAGACCTGTGACTGATCTGTGTGATCTGTACTGGCTTCAAACCCCGGGGTCCAGTTACAGGGCTGCTCCCTCGGGCTCCAGCCCCCGACTCTGCCACGTCATTTCACTCAATATTTTTATGAAAAGATAACAAGAAAAATAGTTGTTGGGCTAAAAGTAACATTTTATTTAGGTTGATAAAATACAATTATTAGCCAAAACCTGCTAATAGCTTCAAAAAAGCTGAAAAATGTATGGCATTGGGTAAATGTTAACAAACTAGTAATAACTAAAGTTTTGATAGGGTCTATTTTATGCATGTGAAAAGTAAATGTTTTTTAGTTCTTTGGCTAATTTGATTTAAATGTCAAATTTAGTTTGGTTATGATATATGGCCTTTTTTGTCTTTCTTTAATTACTTTTAGCATTTGATGCTAATGTCTAGTGTTTTGATAGGGTCTATTTTATGCATGTTTTGCATTTTTAGAAAGGTGTTCCTACCTTTTAGCTTAAAGTCATCAGTTTATAAGCAGACATTTGTCCGACCTTAAGCTAATTTTGCTGTTTGTCTTGCTAACTTTAGAGATCGTGCAGTCGGTGATTTCAGCAGCCGGAGCCTCGTACACAATGTCAGACATTTAAAGTGCAATTTGCCCCCTGACGTTGCTAATTTCCGACCTTGCTAGCGACCTACAGCAACTCTAACAGCTAAATCTTTGTCGTCCACTGCCCCAAACCCGATCATTATGCAGCACACTGGGTGGTTCCTATTTTCTTAAAAGGGTAAAAATCCTCATTTTTACAGCCGTGTCATTACAGGTGAGACTCATCGCTGCCTCAGTGCATAAATTAGACTCTTCATGCGAGAACAGCGGCCAAAAAAAACCCCCGTGCAACCAGGTCAGCCAAAGAATTAGATAATGGTCCTGCAGACCTCAGCCCTGTGTCCACACGTATGTGTGTGTGTGTGTGTGCTTCACACCATCAAACTCACTGACCTTTATAAATACTGCAGCAGGGATTTGGAACACACACTCACACAGAGACAGAGACACACACTCACCTCATCATCACTTTATTACATTCTGCCTTTTTTTAACCTCCTCCGTCTTTCTGCATCCCATTTTCTCTCCCTCATTTTTTTTTTATTCTCTTCTCATTTCCCACACCATATCCTTTCCCGTCCTCCACCGCTGCACTATTCTTGGACGGTAATTTCTTTCCCCTCATTCTCCTGTCCCTTCATGCACAACAACCACACTTAATGGCCACTTGATTAGGTACATCTTGGTGGTGCCAGGTTGAACTGCCCCAAATAAACCCATGTTTCCAGGAAAGTCATCTGTAATTTAGACACTAAAAAACCAAAACCAAAAATAATCAGGCCGGAAAAACAAAAAAGTCAAAGTAACAGTGGGTTGGTGGTTGAATTCTGGATCCACTACTAGTGAAAAGATGTGACTGGTGGTTCCCAAAGTTGTTTTGCAGCACTTCTCTTTCATGTGTTCAACTGAATAAAATCATATTTTTAATGTCGGTGAAAATTTTCCACTGTAAAAAAATGTAAATTTATATTAAATGGACGCCTTACCACCTGGAGGGATGTGCCCCCTACTTTTGGAACCACTATCTGAAGGCTCAGTCTTTACAAATGCAGTACTTCCCCTAAGTCTCTGTAAAGTCTTGTTGTTCTGCAATCTGATTGGCCGATGGAGTACAGTATTTGTAGTGCCCACTAGTTAAATAAGTATTTCAATCAAACATCAGAGGAGTTTACTTCTCCACTACTTCACATCGACTTGCCTTTCTCCTCTGTACTCGTCCTCCCTTTTTGGGGCCATGCTAAGCTTGTTAGCAGCAGGTGGGGGCCATGGTGCGGCCAAAGAAACCGAGGATTTCAGGGCCCAGTTTGGAGGAGAAAGGTGTCGTCAGATGGTATTTTTTATGGTCACAAACGCCGACCGCAAACACATGCAAAGAACCTGAGACGCGGCGTTAATCCGGGGACATTGATACCTTTCCATTAAAACCAAATTGAAGTCTTTGAATGTGGAGATGTGGATTTTTACCCTCCTCCCTGCAGGCAAATGGGGCTTTATCAGGACTTTCCAGGCCACCAAGAGGAGGAGGGGAAGCTCCCATGGTGTGCAAAGGATGCTGGGATGGATGGATGGATGAATAGATGGATGGTAGGATAAATGGGCAGAGAGAGAAGAGAGACAGATACATGACTGGGTCGCGTGAGATGGGGAGTATTGGTGGGTAAATGGGGGATCAGTTTTGCCTGGAGCCCCCGGGACTCCTTATCCAGCTGTGGATTAGGGATGTAAATGTGTGTGTGTGAGTGTGTGTCTGTGACTACTTGTTCACTTTGTGCACTTTCTCCACACTCGCTGCTCAGTCTGAGCTTCATGCTTGATTTGTTTACGCCCAGGACGTGACGCCGGGCTGACATTTGGCCGCTGCGTTCTTCCATAAAGAAAACCACGGCTGCTAATAGAAAAATCTACAATTTGATTGGATGTCCTGGCCCTCAGTGGTCACTCCAAAGCCCTTCAGCTGAGGCAGGGATGCAGGAGTAGATGGGAGGAGAAGAGGAGGTTGATGTGCAGGTCAGGGAGCAGGACAGGGAGGAGGAGAAGGAGGAGGGATTGGCATTTCAATATCCTGAGAGGATTACTGGCCCGGGCTTTAGATGGCTGGTCCCTGTGGAGCAGCATGGGGGAGTACAAGGAGAGGAAGAGGGAAAAGGGATGAATATAGAAATGGAGAGAGGGGTGAGAGGTGAGTGGTGCAGCATTCTGAACAAAGTTTCCTGTGAAGTGACAGGAGAGTGGGTGGAGGTGTGGATGGAGGAGGACAAAAGTAGAGAGAAAGAGAGAGAGAGCGTGGGTGAGAGAGGGTTGCTTTGACAGTGAAACTCCAGCTGTGTGTGGAGAGATTCGGCTCAGAGTTCAGTATGAAGACCTGAAAATGTCGTTTAGTTTCACGTAAATGCACCGAAATATGGGTGATACGGTGGAGCAGCGGGTAGTGCTGCTGCCTTACAATAGGATCACCAGTTTGCTGATTCCATAGTGTAGCAGTTAGAACGCATGCCTTGCAAGCAGTGAGTCCTGGGTTCGATTTCCAGAGGACCTACATATGCCTAATGGCGCCTCCTGTGGCAGCCGGTGTCATTTGCACCCTGTAAATGTCCTTATTGTCGGGACAAATAATGGACTCAATGTAATCAATGGTTGTTATTCATTTTATTCTTCAGTTTCTGCTCCTTCTGTGTGAACTTTCATGTTCAACCACCTGTGCTGAGGGGGGGGTACAAGATCAGGTCAATGGTTCACACTGAAATAGGTGTGAATGTTAGTGTGAATGGTTGTGATTGGCTGTCGCTCCTCCGTGACAAGATAAGACCAGAAAACTTAGTGAAAACCTTCGTTGTGAGTCAAAGACGGTGGAGATCTGTGTTCTTCATGAAGGTAAAACCACCTTCACAGCAGAAACCTGAAGACGTTTCTTCTCCACAGAACTCTGATCCGTTCTGACTCCCAGCTCCTCTGTTTGATCAACTCCAGCCTGAATGGATCCAGGATCACACTCTCTCTCCCGTCTGCTGGCTCTGAATGAGTCACTCACCAAATCAAAGTACAGAAAAACTTTGTTGTTTAGTTTTCAATCAACCTTTTTTTCCATGCCCTCCTCCTCCTCCTCCTTCAGCCTTTCTGCACAGAGACATCTCAGCTCCTTCTCCTTTTTATTTCCTTCGCCTTCTTAATTAGAAGTGATGGGAAGGTGAGGCTTCAGCAGGCAGCAAATGAATGGAGTCATCA